ACCACTAGTCTTAATTGGTTGCTACCTCATTTATATGAGAGATGAACCATGGCGTCCCTTCGGAAGGGGAAGCAGACTCAGAAGGCTCGGGCGCCTGGACATATGTTACTCACGAGCTGTGACGAGCCGAGTCGTAACACCCAAGTTTGGTGGACCTTTTGACAATCAAAATGTTTTCTGTCGCAGCAAGCGGGCCTCGACGTTAGCTAATGGGGCACTCAGCATATGAAGAACATGCGCCCCGGGCAACCCCCCCCCCCCCCCCCCCGGACAGGCCATTCGCCACAGCGCTCCGAGTGCCCACCCCCCGGAGCAGATTGCGCCCAGCAGATCTAGCGCCCTCGGGCCCGGCACACGCATGCACATAGAGTTAGGCTAGCAACCGCCCCGGCCCCCCCCCCGCCGGCATTCGCCGCAACAGAGCAGCAACCGGCGAGCCGCCGCGCCCCCTCCCCACGAATAATTGTGTGAACTTCTTCGAAGAAAATTTTTTGGAAAATTATTTTAAAAGACCACAGAATTTCCCACCCGTGTTCCCCCAGGCTAGCACATGAGAGACGCCCATGAGCGCCCTTCGAGAAGGGAGCGACCTCAGCAAGGTGGTGCTGACATATGTTACTCAGCGTGACGAGCCGAGGTCCCCGTAGACACCTAAACTAGTGGACTTGGAACAAACTTTTACCGTGATGACATTTCACACTAGCTTATGTTGTGGCACCTCATATAATGAACATATGACCGCCCATGGCGCCCTTCGGAAGGAAGCGAACTCAGAAGGCTGGGCTGACAATAGTTACCTCAGCGTGAACGAGCCCAAGTCCGTAAGACACCCCAATTTGTGGACTTTTGACAAAAATTTTTCGTACGCAGCAAGCAGGCCTCGGAGATGTTAACGAGGCCTCCACTTCCCGAAGGGAACGACTTAGGAAGAGCCTGGGCTGACATATGTTACTCAGCGTGACGAGCCAGAGCCGCTTAGACACCACAATTTGTGAGCCTTTCGATGAAAATTTTTTTGGAAATTATTAAACACGAGAATTTAACCGTGTGTGCCCCGCGACAGCATATGATGAGACCGCCATCGGCGGCCCTTCTAAGGCGGAGCGATCTCAGCGGAAGCGGCTGGGCTGACATATGTTACTCAAGCTGTTGACTCGACGCCGAAGTCCGTAAGACACCGAACTTGTGGAGCTTTGGACAATTCACGGTTTGCCGTCTTGTGACATTCACACTACTTAATGGCATGTGGCACCTCATTATATGGAGAGATGACCCATGCGGCCCTTCAGGAACGGATCGACTCAGAAGGCTGGGGCTACATATGTTACTCAGCGTTGACGAGCCGAGTCTGTAGACACCCAATTTGTGGACTTTTTGACAAAATTTTTCGTCGCAGCAAGCGGGGCCTCGGAGACGTTAGTCTAATGATGTGGCACCTCAGCATATGAGAGATAACCCATGGCGGCCCCGCCGGCGGCCCAACCCCCCCCCCCGCGCCCCCACAGGCATTGCGCCCAGCAAGCAGAGCTAGCCGCCCATGTGCCCACCGCCCCCCCCCCCCCCCCCCCCGGCACAGCCGATTGCGCCCAAGCAAGCAGTCCCGGACGCCCCGACAGCATCGCGAGAGCTAGCCCGGCGGCCCGCCGGCGCCCCCCCCCCCCCTTTAAGACCCCAGACACAAGGCAATTGCCGCCACCCAAGCATAGTCAGAGCTAAAGCTGCCCGGCGCCGGTAGGATACTATCTTCCGGCGGGCGCCCCCCGCGCGCCTGGCACAGGGCATTGCGCCAGTCTGAAGCAAGAGCTAGCGAGCCCGCGGTCCCGCTGGCGCCCCCCCCCCCCGTGCACAGGCATTGCGCTCCGAGCAAGCAGAGCTAGCAACTCACCCGTTCGCCGCCGGCGCCCCCCCCCCCCCGGACAGGCATTGTTGCGCACCATTCAAGCAGAGCTAGCACGCGCTCGGCAGCCTTGCCGGCGCCCCCCCCCCCCCGGCACAAGGCATTGCGCCCAGCAAACAGTTAGCGGGTGTTCTCCACACACCGCAGCCGCGCGCAAAGGAGAGAAGAGACATATGCGCACGCCAGCAAGCAGAGTACGTACAACAGAACCCGAAAAGTTGATGTGCGACCCCCGAATGCGAAGAGAAATAGTTTGCCGTGCGGGAACGCTCAGGGTTCCATATAGAGTATCACAACCTCAGTATACAGGCTAAAAGAAGGATGAAACAAAACAGCCTTTTGATCTTTTGAAGCATCACTTGAATTCCTAGAAT